AAATTCCAGCCTGTTCAACTAGGCTTTGGAAGCAAAGGCGGCTGTGAAGCGGCTGTACATTCCGTTTGAACTTCTTTAAATACTAGTGATTTGCATATACTTCTGAAGGTTGACCTAAGGAATGCTTTTAACTCCATTGATAGAACGACTCTGCTGAACGAAGTTGCTAACCATACACCAGAAATATATCATTATGTTTGACAATGTTAGAGTGAAAAGAGTAATTTATTTTATGAAGACAATATTATTGATTCTGCTGTCGGCGTTCAGCAGGGAGATCCGCTAGGACCAGCATTATTTAGTTTGGGAATTCATCCAATTATTTCAAAATTGAAATCTGAATTTAATGTCTGTTAAAATTGAAATCTAAACTCAGTCTCTTGCCTAGACGATTTTAAAATTAAAGTTAAATCAATTTTTAGATCATGTTAACAGTTTTTTTTTACTAAATTCGCATATTGCGCTTACTGTTTTGCAACATTATATTCTTGTACCTAAATTTACGTACCCCCTTTGCTCGAGTCCAGTTTGGAAATGGGGTGACTTTTTGAACGAAATTGATTTCCATCTTAAATCAGCTCTAGAAAAAATTCTAAATTTATCTCGTAATGAATTAAGCTGGACTCAAGCTACGCTACCAATTCGTTTTGGTGGTATCGGTGTAAGGAAAATTTCTAGCGTCGCTCTACCTGCCTTCCTTACGTCCGTGCATAGCGTTATGTAATAACATCCTTAATCACGATTCAGAACTTTTCTATGCAGAGGAGGCAAAGATGTCTTGGCTGTCTATCTGCTCCATCGAAAATATCCCACTGGAAGTAAAGCTACAAAAATAGTGGGATGTTCCTTTGGTGCGGAGAGTGCAGAGAGATACGTTTCAATCTTTAGAAAGTAATTTAGAGCGTGCCCGTTTCCTAGGCGTCTCATCTGAAGAATTGAGTTATTGGCTTCACGCTTTACCATCAAGTAACTTGGGCACATTATTTGACGATGAAAGCATACGCATTGCTGTAGGAATCTGTCTGGGGGCACCGATTTGTCAACCACACCAATGTCGTTGTGGTGTCAGTGTAGACAAATTTGGCCTCCATGGGCTTTCTTGTCAAAAAAGTGCTGGCCGTTTTTCCCGCCACGGTTCCCTGAACTCTAGGGGCTCTTGTTTACATCAATGTTCCATCTATTTTAGAGCCCTGTGGCATTTTTCGCGACAATGGTAAGAGAACCGACGGTTTACCATTGGTCCCTTGGGAGAGAGGCAAAGCCCTTGTTAGGGACACCACTTGTGTAGACACTCTGGCTGCCTCTCATCTAAGGGGTACTTTGGGGGGGATGGAGGGGGGGGGGGCATTGGAGGCAGCTGAAGCAAGTAAATGGCGCAAATATGAGTCTTTATGTTTAGATTATGTATTTGTGCCATTTGCTGTTGAAACTTTAGGTCCGTGGGGTCAAACATTTTTTTTTAAAAGTTTATGTCCTAGGCTTAACGCCGCGGCTGGTGACAAGAGAGCTGGTTTTTTTTTTCGCTCCAAGGTTAAGCATAACTATTCAGCGAGAAAATGCAGCTAGCGTTCTTGGCACCATGCCGCGTGGATTAGGTTTATTAGATAATACGTAATTTTAGATAGATTTAATCTTATAAAAATTAGATCAAATAAAGAAAATAAGTTTATCTTTCTCTATTCATCTTATTTCGTTCTACTTGAAACAATGAACTATACATCCCGGTGCACTTCACTGGGCTCTCTTTTAACTCATTCACTATCAAAGCTATACATCTCTGGAACTCCTTGCCCGTTAACGTAAGAAATGCAATAAATAAGTCATCTTAGAAAAGAGAGGTTATTGTTGTAGGAAAGATAGACACATGTAGAAGACAATCATCAGTAAAGGTATAAGCTATTTTTATATGTTGAAATATGTTGTGTTTTGACGTACATAATTATATTAAACGTATATAATTATATGAAAAGTTTTTGTAAAATCTGATGTTAGATTTTATATGTAACATATATTTATATTTTTATAGTTATTTTCTTGTAGTTTCTTATTCTTTTTTGCTTGCTGCTCTTACTACATCCTGGGTCCGTCCTTTGTTACTTTTTTTATTTAAGATTAGCAATACAGCATAAATAAATAAATAATTTTATGATCCAGACAATTTACTACTCACGAAGTTTTCTTGTATACGCGAAGCGATTCTTAGCCGTACTTATAGTGCATTCCACAAGAGAATTGATTGAACAAAGAAAGACGAGAAGGCAACTATGCGTCAAGCAGAATTTTTATGATTTACTCGAAAAAGATAATTAATTATGTAAAGTGTAGCATAGAGCGTAAGAAGGAGTAGAAGAAGAAAAGCAAGCGTTATTGGCGAATGGGTAACCACTAGAGAACAAGAACGATACAAACAGACACATAGTCATACTTACGAAGATTGAAAATGAATCGAATTCAGGGTCAAATAAAGGATAAAAATATTGTGTTATGAAAGTTGTGTCTTGGTGTTTATTTATCTTTAATATGTATTTATTGACAAAAAAACATTGATTGATTTGTGTGAGTTCACAACATCAAGTATGAAGAAAATGAAAGATCAATTTTAAAAATCAACATTATATTTATAATTTCAGTATAAGTACTTATCAGTAACATATATATAGAGTTGAGTATAAAGACTTAAGTATCATCTTCCAAGAAGTATTTTAATCTCATACAAAAATAATTAGCTCTCATTCAACCATTTCTTGTACTCTCATTTCCATATTGATTCTCACTAACGTAGGAAACACAGATTTGAGGAAGATAGGAAAGATCGGTAGAGCGATATACATATACTCAACATAGACCACAACACTGATTACTTTGTTATATTTTTAACATCAATATCTAATAACACTAGTTAAATTACAAAGCTTTAACCTTGAGAATTACTCCTTTCACTATTATTTATCTCGAAACACCTGTGACTACCGTTGTAGCTGCTGAAGTCAATTTATAGTAACCTCACATGGGAAGCTGAAGTCTTTTTAAATATGCACATCAACACCTTAATTTAACAGTGGAAATATGTATCAGATAAGAGCAACTTCTAAGTTTTGAATAACATGTTAAATACATCATTAACATGACGATTTAATGAAAGTTAGTAATAACAATACGTTACACGTGATTGATGTGATAAGTTCTATTCTTATATGGGTTTAATAATATTCCCCTATATTAAAAATTATACATTGGCGCTTTTCATGTGAAGATTCCCATATTACATAAATGTGTTAACTAAAATCAAGCCTAAGGCTTTATTAAATCCGCCAGTTACATATGCCCGTAGTCATGGAATAAAAGAACAAAAATATTTTATATTGAATTAAATCATCTTCAGAATTTTTGTCTCTGTAGTCTTGCAGTGATTGTGTTGCAGTTGATGTCTGAATCTATTAAATTGACTTCAAAACCGATTCTGAACAAAAATTTATTGTAAACAACGCAGACAATGTGTTTCTGTTCGCACGTCGGCCATAGAGACGTATACGTTTTTTTATCAGCCTTAATTAAGTATTCTTGAACATTCAATATAAAAACTTCATGACAAGTTCTGATTTTATGCAACATTTTGGCCACACATTACTGATTACATATGAATAAAAACTAAAACAATAAAAACCAGTAGAATAATAATCAAGATCAAAAATCAATTTATTTGTAATAGACCGCAATACTGTCAACTCTGCGTTGTCTTTAATGTTTTTTTTTTATATTATTCCAATTTATCCAACTAACTAAAACAAAGTACAGTTAATATTTCTTTAACTATTACAATTATAAAAATAGTATCTGCAACCTCAAAGTATGTATCGATCTGTTATAAATATCATAATTTTAATAAATATGAATAAGCAAGCAGAATAGGTACACCGATAAATATTTTCGCCTCCAAATATAAGAAAGCTTCGATTGTATAGCGACACTTTATGTGTTCTTCCAAAATCTATTTAAAATATTTTCATTTGATATTATAAGATATATAGAAAAGTTTAAATATTATATTTAATTTTAACACGATTTAAAGCTTCAATTTTACTCTTCTAAAACAGTAACGTACACAACAAACCTTTAGTTGTATATTGTGCAATATTTAGTAAAAAGAAGGAAAATCGTTATTTAAATTCCTTGCAAAACACTTCAGCTACGTTATTGTCAGACTTTAAAAGATTGTTATGAACCTTCGCCATTTTATAACACGTGGCATGTATAGAATTTTATTTTTTTTACGAGTCTCAGTATCGCTTGATATGATTGCATAGTCGCAAGTTTGTATTATATTATAAGAGGTATAGTTCATAATAAATGTGCTTACGCTGTAAAGACAACAAATTTTCAACATTCATCAATAATTGTTAAAAGTCATTATCTTTAACATGATAAGTTCGAGTCTTGAATTTTGAAATGTGCGTATTTATTATGCAGATATGAATGCAACATTTGGATAAAATATTATTAAATACGATATATATTCTACTATATTATTAAGGTTGATAATAGACAATCATAAAAAAGTAACAAAAAATTATAATAATCATGTTTAGGTCATTAAGAAAAACTTTCCTTTACATATTTAATTAATTTTCTACTTGAGACGAAATTATCGAGGTTAAATTATTACATTAATTTGGATAAATTATTAGAACTCTAAGGATTAAATTCATCTTCTACTTCAACATCAAATTCTAATTATATTTTATCGTCTCTAAACATAATCTATCTGTCTACAGTTCCAATATCACTTACTTACATCCAAAGTTATAATTTACCTTTTGCTACAGTAAATGGACATACAACCGCTCATCTCCCTAATCGAATTTACCTACGGTTACGATTTTGGCATCGCGAGATTACTCGATTGGTAAATTCTTTACAATCAAGTTATTTTTTCCGTTCCGTAGTTTTTCATTTTCCTGCATGTTTTTATCGTGTCCGATTGATTCAGCGTTGTCTCTTCATCTAAAACAAATATTAAAATAGACTCAGATTTGATTACAGCAGACTGAAGTAAAGTTTATTTTTCCGACATGTTTTTCACTTTAACAAAAGCCTAATTTATAATTATCTTAGAAAATAACTAATAACAATGACGTCTCACCTTCCATTTAGGCAGCTCAAACCCGCATTCTGTTGATCATTTGTTGGCACGTCGATGTTGGTCGGCAAGCTTTTATTCAGAGGGTACCATTGTGCCACCGGTTTCCTCGAATTGTCCAACATCTCCAGCCAATGGTCACGTCCGATTCCAATCAGAGTAGATCCAATAGCTGTGCAACCGATTAACTCATTGGGGCCAATCCTGGTGAAGGAAACAGGAATTTATATAAAGCACTACCTGCAGAGTAATGTTTGATGTTTACTTCTATTAAGAATGGTGGTTAATGATATTCTATATACACAAGTATAACTTTAAAGAGGTCAACACTTAAACCATCTTAAACTTATAGCTGCATTTTTAAGTTGCTAAGAGTACTTACATGTCGTAATCAATGACCTTGACTAATAGAGTGACATCGTAAACGTTCTCGTAAGGCAAGTCGAAAACCAAAGCCTCGTTGTATACTGGGCTGAGAGTGTTTTTCTTAACTGTTGTTTTTTTCTTCTTGATCCGTTTACCTTGACAGATCAGGCAGATCTTCACATATGGATCTACGATTAATATGTTTCATATTTAAAAAAATAAAATGTTATGTGTAAAAATATCATAGATTAAATTTGAAACATAAAATAACGACCAAATAAATTTAAGATGTTTTATGTAAGTTATACTACACATCAGTTGAAAAATGATTATACAAAAAAAGTTGTTTGGCAAACAAAGCCCTTGCCGATTGTGCCTTATTAAAGCATGAATATGACATTTCTTACCAGAAGAACCATTTATGTCCATAGCTTTTAAATTTCTGCCTTTTATAACCGTCACAGTAAGCCGACCAGCAGTCGGTAGATAGCATAACGAAAGCATCAGTTCACCCAAATCCTTCTTTTCCTGTTAACAACGAATGTACGTTTTAGATATTACATAGATCGGCCGTTGTTTGCGAGTCACGAAAAGTAATGGATTCATCTAACTTTTTCCTTAAACATTTGCCCGTTATCTAAAATAACAACATTTTAAGACGATTTTATAAGCACTGCGTGTTCTGTGATGTTTGATTTCTAACCGTGGAGATGTGCGGTAAGGGGTGTATTTATCCATATAATATGTAACGAAGAGATGACGTCACGGATGACAGCTAGTTTTATAAAGTATGTATGTATGTATGGTATATATACATTTCCTCGGAGCGTCTGTGCAATTTATTGTTCCAAATATTGATTAATTTCACTTTTTCGTTTAAGTTCGATTAAAGATTCGGAATGTCTGCTATACTAAAAACATTTGGGTATGTTCATGAGGTGCAAATTACTGTCAACCTTATAATAAATCAAAATAAATACAACCCTTTCTTTGCGGCAGTCGCCCAAGGCCTGTCTGTCGAGACGGTATGATAAAGGTCTGTAGCCTTGAATTTAGCCCCAAAGGGATTAAGGGTATAAGCGTTGTAAGGAGCAAGAAATGGCAATATTTCTCTTGAAATACTTGATTAATGATGCCAAATATCACGTAATTAAGCGTTCAGGAATCGAGTTAATCGACCCTATTCGTTGTCGCTTCATCATTGTCGTATAAAATAACAAATGTCTTTAAAAACACTGAATACCTTTCGGCTAATTTCTTTTAAAGGGTTACTTTACTTTTTGCTTTAAAAAGAATACTTTTACTATTATTTCACATTACCTGCGGTGCCGCCAATATGTTCATCGTATACTCAATCTCCTGCGTCAAATCGGCAGATTCGAGAAGCCCTTTCAGTACAACGTGACCAATCAAATCATGCCGGCTGAAGCGGTCGAAGTCATACACAGAGAACTGTAGATAACGCTGACGCAATTCCTCGTATGGGACGCTGCAAAAGAAATGTAATACAAAATAAAATATAAAATCTTTTGATCATAATTTTTTGCTATAAAAGACACTGTTAAGTTTGAATTTAAATATAAACAGAAATTCAATACCTAGCAATTTAAAAATGTTTTTCTCATAGTTAGTCTGATTAATAAATAACTTTTTTAATTGAACACGTGCAAATTATCACAAATTATGTCTATTACATTTATGAAAGTGTTTGCAATAATAATAAAAGTCTTAATTATTTTTTTTCTATTAATTCTTTTCTTTTATTTAAAATACGTAATGGTACACTTGCTTTTTTAAAATAATGATGTTTTTTTTTTATTAAGACCTCTTCAGTGACGCTGCCATAAACTATCAGAAAGAACTTTTCCTGCTTATTACATTTAGTGAAAAACTTCATAGACATAAAATCGACAAGATATTATTGTGAAGAGCACTAAAGTAAAACTGAAGTGGTCAAAGTATGTACTTGGAAGTTTCGAAGTAAAAAGAAGTATTTCGAAGTAAAGTACCTGAATAGGAAAGTTTCATTGAACACCGGATTAAGGTTCTTGCGGTGAACTTTGGTCTGGAACTTCTTCTTGCGATCCGGGAGAAGGAAAACCTTGATGTATGGATCGCTGCTTCCTGATACGTCCTTGATAGGTAAGTCACGGGCCTCGAATATCTAAACAATAATTGATAAAGACCTATTGTTATGAAACCGTGTGTATATTATTAACAAGTGTACACGTGGTAACGTGTTATGTGTAGTGTGGTATAAATTTACTCTTGTGGCTCTTCCAAACTAGCTTATAATTTTATGAAACAATGAAATATATTGTTTCTTATAAGAATAAGCTTAAACTGAGCCAGTTCTTCTACCAACGGTGACGACATCGCCACAACATTGTGTTGTAGTAATTTTATTCTGTTCTGTTTAGATATCGAATACATAAACTTAAGAAACTAGGTAGATAAGGTAATATGTAAAATCCTCTAGAAAATCAGATTTGTAAATGAGATGAGAAATAAAGAGAGCAGTAAAAAAAACTTGGATGACCTACCGCAGATAATTGTACCACAAAGTATAGTGATATAGTGTCGATTGATTAAAAAAAATCTTTTTTCTTTCTTTTCTTTTCAAAAACACTTGCCTTCACTACGAGAGCTTCCACTTCCTGGTCGTATTTCAGAGCGAAGTGCAACTTCCCGCAAAACTCGAGCTCGCCGCTGTCAGTTGATGATTGGCGGACCAATTCGTTTTTGTACAGCTCAGGCTGCAGAAAGAAACGTTCGAATGTAATGTTACATTACACATCTTTATCCTTGCTAATATTATAAACGCGAAAGTTTGTTTGTATGGATGGATGTTTGTTACTCTTTCACGCAAATACTACTGTTACTATTTCACGCAAATAGTACCGAATGGATTTTAATGAAACTTTACAATAATATAGCTTATACATCAGAATAAGACGTAAGCTATAATTTATATACATAATTTATGTATATCTGTCTTTCCGTCTGAATGTTACGCCTTCAGGCTATTCTACGCAGACGTAGTCGTAGGCAGCAGCTAGTTTTACATATAGCACGAGGATGGATCAGCACGGCGTGGACTTGGGTATAGGGCGTTTTGACGCTTCGAAAAGCAGACACACCTGGTCATACTTACGAAGGTTAAAAAACAAATCGAATGCAGTTATTGAGAAAGACGGTCATATTTGTTGAGTAGATCTGCATTTTCAGATCAGAATAGCATACATCACCATAATCGATCAAGGGAAGAATTAAGGACTGCACAAGTAAAACTTTAGTTCTGGGCGGAAGAAATTTGCGTAGGCGTAGAGACTTCGCAAAATACCGGTTACTTTTCGACTGACATGATTCGCTTGAGCATGCCAGCTTATGTTGGTGTCGATATGTAACCCAAGATCTTTTACCGATGAGCTTGGTTGGATTACGGTGCCGTTGAATACGTGTCTGCCTTTCAGTCGGGATGTAACGTGGAGTCTTTAAGGCTGGACTCGTGCATATATAAGTATCCGTACCCAAAAGGTAAAAAGGAACCATATTACTAAGTCTCCCCTGTCTGTCTGTCTGGCTGTCTATCACCAGGCTGTATCTCATGAACTGTGATAGTTACACTGTTGGAATTTTCACAGATGATGTATTGCGAGCACAATAACAGAGTAAAAAAATATTTAAGTGGGATCCCCATAGAACAGACATGATTTTTATAGATGTTTGTTCTGTTCTGTTTTTATAGATGGGTACCTGTCCTTGACTCGCACTTGGACGATTTTTGATATTGAATGCTTTCCAGTTTGGAAAGGAACGTTATTTCTCAGAAAATTCACCGGTTCACGGTCTTAAGCAAGATACTCTATTCATTACGGAATATATAATGTACGGAATAATCGAAGTGCCGGAAACATTAAAGTTCAACAACAATCTGCTGTTGTTTACGCTCGCTGACTGACAATGAGGCTTAGAAATGGCTCAAGTTTTTTAATCTTCTGTTCAATGCTGCGGGCTTTGGTTCAAATGGTATGTATTGAAGAGCTCGTACATTTTGAGCATAAAATTCTAACGGGAATATGAAATGTGGAAAATAAGTAAATCGAAAAATGTAAGCAACAGTAGGATAAAAAACCCTATTGTATGGATACATTTTCTGATGTAATACATGCTTTCATCATTCATGTATCCAGTACCGATTTGAACATTAAAAACCAGCAACAATGTGTTGATATGAAAACTTTCTCAAACTTGAAAACGATAAAAATAGATGAATTGTTGACGGACTCATAAATGTGTCAGATGAAGAAGGTAGGCTAATCCGTAGGGACTACCGTTTCGCGTATGTCTATTATGCCTCCATGTTTTGCAACTAATCTTGTCATATGTAACATCAAACTGTTTCTTCCTTCGTATAACAGGAAATAAATCACCTAATATAGCCAAAAACTATACCTAGTATGTGTATTTAATATTTTCAGTGATTATGATATCAAGGTTGTAACCGAGATAGCTCGAGTTTTCATTGCTATTTTTGTAGATATTTATAGATGTATACCGGCGAATATTAAAAAACGGCCATGTGCGATTATCTATAAATACGGCAAAAAAAACGTCTGTTGTATGTTAAAATGTTTTTATTATTTTTTAGTATTTATTGTTATAGCGGCAACTGAAATATATCATGTGTGAAAAATTCAATTGTCTAAGTATCATGGTTCATATTCATCATCAGACGGACAGACAGACAGAAAGAAGGTTTTGTAATAGGATCCCGTGATAGGATTACCCTTTGAGTGCGGAACCCTAAAAATAGTGCGAATTTCGCGAGAGGTTAGTTCAGGGATTCCGTGAAACTACTCTTTATGCACTGGTTTGTAAAATATATTTACTAATGATATATAATATTACAAATGATTTAGATACACGAATTTCACATAAAAATACTTGTCTCATAAAACATTTTTACCGTGAAAGACAGCTACAATATACAAAATGATAATATACAACTCAGTCTCACAACAATAAAGAAGCGATAAGGTGCATTCTGTGTGCCCAGCAAGATCTTTTTTCCACCAACACTCATTGATTGGCTGGGAATCTCCTATTCGTACTTAACTAAGGCATATTTTTCTTAGCAAGGCGTAATAACTAATAAAGTCGTGTACCAAAATACCGTCTCCACATATCTTGTGGAAACTGTTTTATATTTAATCTGGATATTCCGGCAAGATTCTGCGCCAGCTCATAGGGGGAAAAGCACGTAAAACTGGCTGGAGGCGCGTGAAATTTACTTCATTTGGCACGAAGACTTGCCCTTCTCCAGTCCAGACTTAAATCCGTTGGATAATAAGTATGGCACGAGAAAAAGGCCTGCTAAAAGCCTTATCCTGATTGCAAGGATGAGGCTTTGAGAAATCCAAGGATGCCTGGAGCCCCTCCAGGCATAATTGATCAATGCAGCCGCCGATTTCGAAATGGACCTTATTCGTGCTAATTTTGAATAAGCTTACTTAGCGTAAGATATTTTAGTAAGTGCCTTTTGTATATAGATGGTTACTGTAAAAACTAATATAACTTAATTATTTCACAATAAACATGAGACTTAACTTACGACTCGACTAAATGACACCCAGTTGAGCATCCTAGTCTTCATTAAAAAATATAGACTAAGCACTTAACTTTTTTACAATTAGTCGAGGATTCTTAAAACTACTTCGGAACTATGCTTCTGTTATAATATGAGGAAATACATTTATATTGAATTGAGGTGTGTTCAAAAATGTTAAACAATATTTTCAACTGCACGCGCGAAGTAACGCCGCAGCAAATGATTATTTAAAAGTGAACACGTAAACGTTGAAAATAACAATGGGTATGCCGTTTCAAAGGCGCGAATTCTATGAATAGGCGAATCTCACGCCGGAACAAAGGCGACTCTCGGAAACAGCTGGGAAATGGTGCGGCGAACTGCGCCGACAGTGCGGAAAGCGACTGTCGCTCCATCTTGTGTAGTTCTTAGCTTTGACGTGTTCTATTTTAAAGCAAATACCCATTTTAGGTTGGAAATGTTTGCTTCGTTATTAATTCTATTAAATAGCTTCGTATATACAGGGTGAATTTTCAAGTGGAGGTGGATGGACAAATATGGAAGCACGACGAATAATGGAAAATACCTAAAGAAGTCTGGGGCTTGATTTTGATGAAAACTAAAACTGGACCATTGGATTTTTTTAAAATAATTGTTGCTAGATATAAATCAGATAGTAAGTTGCTAGATAGAGATCCGTTGATGTTGGGGAAAAATGCGCAGAGTATTATTACACCATTCGATAGTGTCGCTAATATGGATCCAATTTTAGCATCCGGAAAATTAAACCTGATACATGAAACAGTTCCTTTTACTTACACTTAACGATAATTTTCGGGCATTTGTAAAGGATTGTGCGAAGACGATGATGCCTATTTTTTGGTTAAAATAATGGTACCTATATTATTCGAATTTATCCTATTATTGGCGAAAACATTAAACACAAAATCGAACTAATTTGTATGATGGTTAAATCAGAAATATAGGATTTGGTCTTTTTTGTCAAAAGTTGGCAAACGAGCAGGTGGTTCCCCTAAAGTTAGTTAATTACCGCCGCCCATTAATATCCACAACACCTGACAGATTGCAGACTCATTGTCAAAATTAGAAAAATGCACCCCCGTTACCGCACTCAATAAGCCAAACGCGAAAATAATACTTCGAGCTCGCGCCAGTGTTCTGTGTGTGGCAATGTGTGTTAGTGATACTTTACCGGATGAGCCTTTTTTTTTGGTATCTGGGGAGAAATCTTCGAAAGATAACCCTGTCACCTTACATGACAGGATTATGTAATCTGGAGCTATCTTACCCACTAAATCAAGTTTAAAAACTAAAGCAAGTTTTATGCTTCTGTGTTTTTTCTGGTGGGTGAGGCAGCCACAATTAACATCAGGTAAACATTTTAAAAAGTAGAACATTATGTTCTTGGTAACATTTTTTTTTTATGTGAAAAGTTGCCAAATGAGCAGACGGTTCACGGAAGCCTGATGGTAAGTGCTACGTGGTCGCCGCCCATGGACATCTGCTACACCCGAGGGTTACAGATGCGTTGACAACCTTTTGAAAATTGGGCTCCGACTACCTCACTTACCATGACTTCACTGCCGATGATTACTCAAACTGTTATTAGAATCAGTGATAACTATCAAGCATCTCAATATTTTATTTGTTTTTTCTTGCAGACTGCATTATTCTCACGAATTCTCGAAAGTACCATAAAAAATACTTCAAAGTAATTTTAACCTTGGTGTGGCTCTTATGAAATGAGCCATTTCAACAACCTGTATAAATAAACTTAAATAGAACTTTAAAAACTTTTAACTTCAAATCAAAAGATTGTTCAGAGTATTAAACATTTGTAAAATTATTTACAAAATAATTCTCGTTTAAAATAATTAAAAATCACTAACTCGTATATAGACTTATTTTGAAATAAGGAAAACTTTTGCCGATAAAACTTTGATGATATTCAATAAGACTCCAAACTATTTTATTAAAAGAACGAAGAACCGAAGACTCTTTAATTAAAGTGGGAACAGTACTTAGTACTAGGGCTTCAAATATCAAAGTTCTCCACGTAGTTACAGTGTGAAAAAATTATAGCGTTCCGTAAGGTCTTAATTATCCAACTTGCTTTTGATTTATGTTGGCGCGTCACTAAATACTTTTCAAGGCGAAATAATTATCTTAGTTCAGTATTGCATTTATTATTATTATAACAGGTATTTATTTTGCAGGCTTTAAACTATTTATGAAATACTTGATATTATTTTTTTATGTTTTGTGATAAATTATTGTATTTTTTAATACATTTTCGAGTGAAGTCGGCATGTCATCTATTTATTCTTAGCATAATGAATATTTTAGTTGTTACTTGAAATCAAATTTTATATCAAGTGTTACTGTTAGCAACAATTTGTCTGAATTATTGCTCTAATATTCTGGTTTTAACTAAATTATTCAATAATTCTTTTAACTCTATCGCTACCAGTGGAGAGACGAAAACATTTAATTTAAATAAACTTAAATCTAATATGAATGACACATAAACAATGTATAGCGAAGGCATAAGCATTATATGAAATTATTCTGAAGGCAGAATCAGGAGTCTTTCTCATAAATTCTATACAACCAAATAGCGTCTTACGCAACAAAAAAGACAAATGTGTCCTTGGAGTAACGGATATCTGTATTCCGGGGCCATAAACAATTCAATGCCCAATAAAGTCCTTTCAAGGATTACTGGGGACGTCTTTTTTACATCCGCGAACCTGTCTTCCTTATTGTATTGAAAGAACACGAAACATTTATTAAATATCGTTTAAATTATATACATAAATTGAGTATTTTAACTATCGCATGTGTTTTGTTCTACGAAAAAGTATTTATAGTGCGTTTATGTATAGATAATTCGAACGAGAGTACTTAAAAATGAAGTAAATAATATATGTGAAGATTTTTTTCGGTGTGGCAATCAGCCGTTTCGCTTAGTGGTAAAAGTATCTGGGCTTGATTCCAGAAGACGAGTTCGATTCACGCACCCGTAAAAGACCTTTTCGTCCTTTTTCTACAATTAATGTTCATACTTAGCATTATTAATTATTTATATATTCATCTAAATTTTCATTAAGAATTTACTAAGGCAATAGACGTTTGTCATAAAGTATAGGCTTCAATTTCTTTTTAAAATGGTGTTATGTATGTGAGGGTGCATAATTATGTATTACGCGAGGCGCTGGCCGAGCGCGAACAAAGACAGTGTGTAACTGACCGCCCCGTAGTTTGCTTGCATACATCTCTAAATACATAACAAATGGAAAATACATAAGTACAAATTCAAATTCAAATATCTTTATTGATTGTCAAAACGCTACCTCATTATACATCATTTTAACAATACACAAGATGTCGTGTTATATTGTAGTATATTCTAAACTAAATTACGCATATGGAAACCAGCGAATAAATGAATTTTCTTAATACCATAACTAACCTTTATCAGCCCAATAGAGGAATCGGCACGTTCCAGGCTGCAAATGCTGAATTGAATCGACGGGAGGTCCAGGCGATGAGAAAGTTGACGCTGGAAGGTTTGGTGGCGTGTGGGGACGATGGGCAGCGTTGTCTGGCGAAGTACCTAAGAAAGAAATATAGTAGTTAGTCCCCAGCTTTCCTTTAGACAATTCATTATCCTTGTATTTTCGTCTTATTTAGATTATTTATAGCCAAGATAGTATAAATTCTAACAGTCGCACATGGATTTTTACTTATTAATAATAACTATATTAATATAAGAATCCTACACTAGCACCTGGCTAGATACATTTTCGTTGGATTGTTCTTTACAAATAACTAAAGGCTAGCCTTTCTGTATAGTGCTATTTTTATATGAAACGAAGATTTTTCGCAACAAGTTAATGATTTTTAAAAACAACACTTAAATGTGTACGGAACTCTATTGCTCGCCAGTGTAGTCTTGGAAAATGGGTTTAAATTGGGTTCCCGGCCAAACAAAGCTGCATGTCTGGGGAAATGAAAAAATAACAAACTTAAGATCTCACCCGTTTACGCCTTTAGGAAGGAAGTGGAAGTAGAAAATGGAAACTATCTCTTTATCCTGTCTAAACAACATTGTTGTTACCGGAGATTTACGTGGTGCAAAATCTTGTCCACTTTTCTGATATTGCTGTTAGTAGAAGCAAGTATGTTCCAACAAAGAAAAATACATGACGTTAAATTGTACGTTAAATTGTAGACATGAATCAATTAACTGGTTTTATGCAACTATTTTAACTAGTATAAAATTCTTCTAACAATTTTTTTTAATCCAATTCCCACTAAAGAATTTTGTGACCTCATTTAAAGTTTCGTTGTTAATCTTATGTTTGTTAAAAAGACTTAAATTTTCATTTTTTCATTTGACGAAGAATATTAAATCTTTTAATAACTTTGTCTTTTAAATCCAAATTGCTGCCAACTCGGATATAAATCGGTCAATTTGTAAAATTTAAATCTGCGATATGATATCTCCAAAATGTTAACACCATCTTCCTTCATCATCATCACCACAATTTGTGAATTGGCGGAGGGATATAGAGGCAATTCCTAAAGGACTACACTGCCTTCTAAAGGCCACAAGTTGATGCTAGAATTATATTCTGAATACAATTAGGTGCACCCGTGGCTGTGTTTATACGACCTTATGTGAAAACTGCAATTTAGCATCTGATTATATATTTATATATTTATCTTGAAAAAACATTGCCCTTACTTTAGGATAACATTATTCTGTGTTGAAAGGACGTTTTATAAACAATCAGAAGCGAAACACACATTTCACGTGGACGAACACACAGATGCGAAACAACTATGTGGGTCACACAAATAGTTTTCCCGTGTCGAACCTACTACCGCGTGAATTTAACAATTTTTACTGCGTTAGGACTACATAGCAGTTTATGCTGTTACACGTATTTTTATGGTCAAAATTGTCAAACGGTTCACCTGATGTGAAGTGGCGCCCACCGCTCATGGACGTCTACAACACCTGAGCGCTTGCAAATGCGTTGACAACTTTTAAAAAAGTGGGCGCAGGCTACCCCACTTACTAGACGAAATGCGAAAGTATAATACTTCCAAATCCCACTGCTGGGCAAAGGACTCTGTACAGGGGGGGCCTATTTATTTTATACCTATCAAGCAATCTTTATACCTATCAAACTTCGCACTAAATTAACGATCAATTTTCGATCGTTAATTTAGTGCGAAGTTAAATTCTATTTTTACGGCCCTATAACAGCCGTCGAAATTTCAAAATAATCCCTTTGTTCATAAATAGAACATCATTTTATTTAATTTTACAAAACTTAGGGCAAAGAGATCCTTTTGTGTTGCCAGTAAAAACAGCCCGCGGCGTTCGCTTTGCCATTTTAAAAGAAGAGAACCATTCCATTTATCTAAATGTCTCTAATAATACCTGAAATATAAAAAAATGTACTTTCACACGCTATTTTATAATTATGATCGTTTCTAATTCATACTTCTTTTCGTTTCGGAAACAATTTCATTTATCACAACAATATTATAGAATAAACTGTTATATGCATGAATTAATATATTGTTTTATTACGAATGTTTACACTACACTGTTTGACTACACCATTATATTGTCCACTAGCAAACATTTTTGTAATATTTTTTTTGAATAACAGACTGACTTATTACAATGAAAGAGGGAGGAAGAAATGAATTATCTTAGGTAGCAGTTTTTATAAAATGTTTTGTTTTTGTAAAAACATTTTGTTTAAAAAGTTTGCATAGATAACAAGTAGACAATAGAGATAAAATGAATCATCAGTATAATCTTCTCCAGCGGATTGGTTCCCAATGGTACTCTAGGTCTAATTTTATTACTTCTTGGAATAATTTTCAGCATAGGCTAGCTTCTACTTGGACGATGTCTTTATTACTGTTATATGCCGCATGGGAGCTAATTCGGCAACATTTAAGAGTGATTCAACTTGGTATTGGTATTTTAGATCTCACATATGCAATATCATATGCAAAGGACAATTTTTAGACTTTATGAACGTCCTAATAACTTTTAGTTGATCAGTTAGATTAATATCTCCCTGTGGTGTGATCAAATAAAACTTCCAAAATCTTATGTTCCATTCGTCACTTATTGCTTTGTTTAGAGTCAGATAGTCATACCTTCATCTTTGGTTTCTTTTTCATATTCGTCAGGATTCATCGGCATCTCATTGAATACATCTTTTATCTTGGGCTTTTTTTTATTATTGTTCCAAACACAGCTCCAAGTCCAAAAGGTCACATCTTTTATCAATATAAATAAATCATTTTGACAATTTTTCATATATAAAAACAAAACGTGATAACAATGTTATCACAATGTTGGAGACCATCTCATTTTATACTATCTAGTAAATCAAAAAACATAAAGCACTAGATAAAAGAGATAACGAATTCGTCATCGGCCACTTAAAAGAACTTTAACCTGCAAAAAGACAATGAAAAATACATCAACCTTTTACAAGGCGCAATATGTTTTCACTGAGAGAACTTTCACAGAGTATTAAACAGCATGTTTGGTATCAAACAAGATTAAATTTTCCACAGATGACTTGACCTCAGGCGGATGCTTTCACAACTAATACACTAATGGAATTACTAGCATATGAGTCCTTGACTAACTACCTAAACTACTCTTATAACTAGTAACCCAGTTTATTGTTCGCCATTGAAGTTACGCTCCTAATAGCTTTACAACTTATTGTACATATCATAAAAAACAACATTTGCTATTTGAAATATAATATTATTAAAAATGTGATTAAGTAAGTAGGTATATAATAAATAGATTCAATGTACCAAACGTTTCTTTTGTAATTAAAAAGAAAACAGAAAACATAATTAAGTATGAACGAAAACATAAGAAATGTTAATATTTATACTGAAAGCAGTCGGCTCTAAGTATGTGTGGATAGCTGAGGTTTTTTAAAATTGTGTTATATATTGGTAGTGTATGCCTCAGCTTCTGTGCTAATGAAAGAAGGAAATAACTAAGTTGAGGTTCCTAAAAGCATCACTGTGGTAGAGCTATGTTCGTCTGGTGATGTACCAACTACTCACAGAAGACCGACCAGAATTAGAAATATTATTTTACACTTTTGCGTTTTCTCTGGTGCGTGAAACAAACTAGGCCCAGGTTTTTTTTAAGCTAGCATCTCAACTGCTACCCCACGGGTTCTGCGGATGTATGGACATCGTTATCGCTCAACATGAAAGAAACGGTTAGTTTGCTTGTCACGATCTCAAATAAAAAAGGCCTTCAAATGTCTAAGTAGTTAAAGATACATTTTACTAGGGAAAAACATGAGTGTTCAACGCTTTTATTTCACATTTATTCCTTGTCTGTTATAAAGATATCCTTGGTCCAGCCACATAATTAGTTGCTAGAAACGAATTAGTTACGCTTAATGTAAGTTTTTATCGGAACCAGCGCAGCTTTTAAAAATAATATTTTAAACTACGCTTCGTAACCATATGGGTTCAGTAGGTTTCTCTTAAGTTCTAATTAATCATTTAACATAATTTTTTTACAAGAGAACAGTCCCTTTGCATTGTTTCGTCGGAACATTGTACACAGGTATAAAAGGGAGACAGGTTTACATGTCCTAACAAGCCGAGAACACAGTCATGATTAAATTAACGAAATAGAGGTCTGCGTTGAACAAACCCCATATTTTTCTTACCTTAATGTTGCCCTCCCAGAAAAGACTAGTTTTAGCCAGAGTATAACTGTAGTAATAAATTAAACAAAATATTAAATAAATTTTAGTTTTAAAAATTTTTACAAAACATTTTTAAGAAATTAATGTTGTATACATGTAAAAGCATCCCTAATGATCATGAAATCTCAGCTTCTGGAAGTAGTTCGCCCTATCATGACGTACGCGAGCCCCGTCTTCGCTCACATTGCTCCGAAGCAAATACACCGGCTTCAGGTGATTCAAAATCGATTCTTGCGCAGAGCCACGGGAGCACCCTGGTTCATGCGCAATATCGACCTACATGTCGATCTAGAATTGCCCACCATCGCGCAATTCCTGAAGTCGGCGTCGCGCCGATATTTCGATTCCGCCGCCGCGCATCCCGACCCACTTATCGTAGGTGCCGTCACCTACAGGCCCTTGCCGCTAAATATTTTCCGCCGCGATTACCGAAGACCGCGTCACGTTCTCGACTTCCCTGACGATGAGACGACTATCGCCATCGAAAGGATCAAAAAACTCAAGAAACACACCAACACACACCGCACTCGCCGGCGAGTGCGGCAAACATATACTAGGTTCCGCCACGTACCTGGCAGGTTTTCCCCTATTAATGATAGAATCGTTGCTGGAGTTTCTTCCGCCACTTCTTCTCCCAGCGCCAACGCTCTCCGAAGTGGTAGTAATGTTAGCACTAGTAATTCCCCTAGTCAGATAATAGCTACCGATCGAGCCGAGGTCCGGCCCTCTCGGGCACCCTCGAATCGGAATGCTAAACGCGTGCTGAGTGACAGCCCAAGCCGAGGTCCCCTCTCGGGGACCCTTGAGCCTGATCACTCCATGGAGCGCCCGCCAAAGCGCCCTAAGAGCTTGAGCTTGGCGGCCTCCCAAACCGGTAATAATAATAGCGTGATGGCCCGAGCCGAGGCTCCCCCGGGAGCCCTCGAGCTTAGTCACCATAACGCGTAATAATAGTACGCCGAGGTTCAGACTAGGCGCCTCGCCAGGCCACCTCAAGTCCGTCGGATCTGTAAAGGCCCCTAAGGGCAACAGTGGCTCATCCAGCCCAAAAAAAAAAAAAAATCAGAACGCCGAGTTTCTAAAACTAAACTACTTTGTTAAACTAGAGCTCATTCGAAAATTTTCAATTCGTTTTCGATTGTATGAAATACAGACAATAAGGACAATGAAAGAAGATAACAATAGCCATAAAAAGTTTAACTTATTTAATCTCATCATCAAGACAAACCTCAACGACCATTATTAACTTTTATTAACTTGATTAAACACTAAAGGTGTTGGTTTATTTCACGAAAAAATGTATATTAATAGAAAACTAAAACTAACAAATAGTGAAAGCAGAGGTAGAAAAACATATTCAGGAAAAAAGTCATTATGAACGATAATTTATTACTCCCCGCACAACGAACAATATTGCCCCTAACGAACAGAAATACTTACAAAATAAGATTTATCTCGTCTTTAAGAGAGATATAAATCTTTTGTAAACAATATTTAATGTCCCTATTTCCATAATCTCTACAAGAATAAAATTTAATACATTTTCCTTTGAACTGTGTGTTTACTTTGTTTTCTGATTGTTATACTTTTGCAAATCATTTGTGTAATGAATTAAAATGTTATTATTGATTTGAATTTAGGTATCATTTGGGATATATGTATCATTTGTTTCAAATATATTCTTGCATTTTGAGTGCATCTTACGATCATGAATGCAATTAAGGTCTTTACATTATATAAAATTAAGTAATTTAAGTATCCTCTGAGAAAAATGTTTACTTAAAATAAAATGAAAAACCTAGGAAAACAGCGCCGGAGGAGCGTCAGTAATCATGCCTGCTGTATGTTGCATGCTTGCTTGCATGTGTACAGTTGCCATGTGACCTCGATCATCATCTCTCTAACAACTTCTCATCAGAGACTATACTTATGAGCGCCAAAAACGCTATTTCATATGACTTAATATCAATCGGATCTGTGAAAGTTATGTCTTTTTTTGTCAAGTAGGAAGTGAGCTAATGATTTTTCAAAAGAGTTTGAACAGATCTTCTTTAGATATAGCTAGGAACAATCACGATCCCATCAGCTTCCAAACAAAAAATCACGTCATAATTGATCCATTCGTTTAGGAGCTACGATGCCAATGACAGACGCACAGACAGACACGTCAAACTTATAACACAAGGGGTGTTTTACGTTGTGGGTTAAAAATAAAGTCAAATTCTATAAAATGTAATATTTTTCCCATTATATATTTTTCACATATTATATTATAATATTGTATGGAATAGAAGAAGTATTTAAAAATATCTCTTTGGTTTAATTTATTATTTTTAATTTATTTTTTGATTTATTATTGATAATTTCTTAAGTTTCGTTAATTGAGGCGGTACTAGTTAACCTTTTGCTGTATTCCTTCGTCTGTTCGTCGCATAGGTATAATAATCCTTAAATCCGCTTAAAGTAAAATTTGATTGCATGCATCAAAGGATTTTCCGTTTTTGAAATTTCTTACTTTCTAAAACAACTATTAAAACTTGACGCCCCGGATGTTTGGACTTAAGTAATATATTATACTGTTGTTCACTGCAATCTGTATATAATATTAATACATGAAGAAAAAACTTTGTACTCATATTTACGAAAATTGCGCGGACAAAGGAGTACGAAATTTTCCACACTTATTATAGTTTATATAGAGAAGGAAGCCGGAATGCTAATATTTTTTTAATTATGCATAAAAAATACATTTAATCAATAAAATAAAATTAATTATGGTCGAATATTGACCACTGGGCCGACTACAAGTAGAATTTATTAGCGATAAGAAATACTGAACTGCATGATAGCTCAGTGTCTGGGCGCTCGATTTGAATTCAACATGCTCAAACAACTTGAGATCAAATGAGCTCAATTTCAAATATCTACTCAAACGAAATTGTTCATAACAATTTTAAGTTTCGACTTATACTAATCTCTACATACTATAAAACAAAGTTGTCCCGCTGTCTGTCTGTCCCTATATATGCTTAGATCTTTAAAGCAACGCAACGGATTTTGATTTTTATTTCTTTAATAGATAGAGTGATTCAAGAGAAATGTTTATATGTATAATTCATGCATAATATAGTAGAGAAACACTGATTATGTTAGAGGCTTCTAATGCGATGTGACATTCAGAATTGCACCCGTGCGAAGCCAGGGCAGGTAGCTAGTTTAAAATAAATATGATAAATATGTAAAAGTTTTGGATGGATTTATCACTATTTTTATGCTAATGCATTGGTTTTTATTCTCTAATCTTTTTTCAAATAACTGTATGAATAATATAGGATTACTGCACCTTCTTGCCGGCATCCTTATGCTCCTGCACGTACTCCTGCTTGAGAGGTTCGGTCTGCAGGTCGGGCAGGGAGTGGCTGATGCGGATCGCCGCTTGGCGGGACTGCGAGTCACAGTTGCTGTCCTCAGATTCACGCCTGGACCTGTTAAATGAATAAGGTGTCAAATTTATATGCATATCAAAATATGCGATGATCATGGAGATAACATCGAAAACAACATCCAGTGCCAGCCTAAGAACCATAGAAGCAATACGTCCGGTTCGCAGTCGGTGGCTGGACAGGCGTCGCGGCACCCTCTACCGCTATCGACTATCCGCTGACCCGCGGAAGCCTTGAGAGAGGTGCTGGGTACATTGCACCGACACTGCACCATTTGGCTGGACTGGATGCCCAAACACCCGGAGAGAGGAGGCCCGAGAAGGCCACGTAAGTCGCACGTACTTCCCCGGGCGAGCTTGCCCGTCCCACTGTAGCTATTGCGTGGCCCTGTATCCGTATATTGTATTATTACGATCTCATTTTCTAACCCTCAACCCATGGAAGATTGTCTCACCGTCCCATAATCCAACGCCAAGTTGCAGCGCAGTGGTAGCCCACGGCAGCCAGCAGTACCGCCGCCATTGCAGCCAACAGGACGGCTGCCACGTAGTCCAATGAGCTGCCACGCACGCTGGACTCAGGTCCCTCCAAGCTCTCCGGTGACCAGGCTCTCCCTACAAAAAGGTCTATTAATAACGAGTACTGTTATATGTGCACGGCCTCAAGTTTTGGTTTCATTTGATGTTTAATATTGCGCAAATCTTTTGTCCTGCAAAATAACTTCTCCATCACTCAATGAGACTGTTCCAATGTTACATCAACTAACGAGGTGCAGGCATCAGAAATTGACGCAATTAATCCTCCTATTCAAAACCTTTATCCTATCAACCGTTATCACAGAAATCTTCATGTAGGAATTTTTATTTAAAAAAAAATTTCTCCAACGGCTTCTTAACGAGCTTTAGAAATAATTTTGAGCAACATTGATACAGAATTAGTAAACCTTGAAATATTACTACTCTATTTGTAAGTAAATTGAGTTGGCAAACTTTGTGCCTTGATACTAAACTAAACAGACACGATACTACACTCCGTAAAGATTAATTTAAACACGTTGTATCTAATGTAGTCTACGTTATAATCCAGTAGAAATCCCTAGAGAATGAAATTTATTCTGTACAATGCGTCTGGTCTTGTATTTTAATTTGCATTGAATTTACGCATATGGGATTAGCGAATAGTTGTTCGATTAAACATAATAAGTATTTAATTTATGATTCTAATACCACTGAGAAATTATTTTCTTTAACTTCAAATAAAAAATAACCACTAAAATAATACCAGAGTTTGTAATAAAAAAAAACAAGTAGTAGATGGTCAGTACAGATAAAAGTGAAAGCTGAAAACTGGGATAGCTGTGTGTTCTTTTTAAATATGGATGTATAATGATATGGAATTTAAATTACAAAGCACAAATTCAAATTTCAAAAGGTCTTTTTATTTCTGACAGTTTAAAGCAATTTTAAACAATAATTTTATCGAATTTTAATATTAAAGTACGTGACAAAAATGCTTTGGAACTAGAAAGTTTTGTACAGATCAAATATTAAAAAACCAAATGATATAAAACTTTTAAATTTACCCACGTCAATGACAAAACACGTTACATTAGCATGTCCATAACAAGCCTATAGAAGTTTTCACTCTAAAACTCTTTTTTAATATAACGCATAAAGTAATTCATTTCCTTTTCTGTATTTTATCTTTAGTGTAATTACTAAAGTACACAATACACATACATAATACACTAGCATCCAACTCAAACACTTAACAGATTCCACCTAATCCAAGTTCAATCAACTTTATATAAAACATTTAATAAGGAATTCTGTGCGTGGTGCGGCATCTTATCTACCATCTGCTTTATATCTGAGATTAGATGCGCGAACGTGAATCGAATTAATCGGGATTCATCTCAGGGCTTATTAGATTCAAACTAACAAACCTGATAATCAACTAAACGCTTAAATTTATATTTCGGTTAAACAAACAAGGCGTGTTAACTCATAGCTAAATTATTACATCACTTGTGACGTTTAAAAGTACTTGCGGTTACTGCAATGATATATTTCGTGAGACTTTTACGAGCATGCCTATAGAAATTCCTCACAACCCTATATTACCACTGGGATAATCAGAGCAAATTACAAAGCTTATTAAAATCTATACTGTATAGTCTGTGCTGTATAAATGTACTACTTATGATTTGAAATCAAGTTTAAGTTGCGATTTAAAAATAAATTAGAAATTGCAACACAACGTAATAAAAACATTCAAAATCAACTGATTTGCTAAAATATCATATCGTAAATCAACGAAAAGTGGTTGCCGGTCTGAAAGGTCCTATACTCCTAGCATATTACTTATAATCGGCCTATAAACGGTTAAAAGCACTCGACGATCGGTAACATGTTTCGTACAACTCTCATGGATCTATGAAATAAGAAAAGTAACTTCTAAAGGTCGACAGCAATGTCGTTACATTTACTTTCGGCAATTGCTTCCAACTGAGTTCATGTTACTAGGGCGGGGCAGGCATATCGAGGAAAACAATATTTGAAATATTTTTTACCCCCTAATGTAAGATTCAAAGGACGTTTAAATTTCTATCTATTTATTTTATTACTAAATTGGTATTGAATTATGTAGACGTTATCGTTCTTAAATGATTAATGTCAACATTTACAGTCGAAAAAAAAAAGGTTTAAATTATCTGCATAAAAAATTAAACTCCATGAATATTTGTAAATATTATGTAAGGATTTAGTAATTTTACGAGTATTTTCAAATTTATTAAAAAAGTTAATTTGAGTAGACAGTTATATTGGCCACTAGTCGCTTTCATATCCAACTACAAGAATAAACGAAGGCAAGCTAACAAGATTTTCTTTATTGTGAGAAGGTGGCCAAGGAGCATGGACATTTCCAACCCCTGTAGGGTTGCCACAAAATAAATGAAATCCTCTTCACGCCTGTGAAGTAGATAGTTATCAGTCTGTAAGGTCGTGGTACTTACAACTTACCCAGACGAACCTGCCCATAGCGAAGAAAGTTACGTGGAAAGACCCTACCACGTGAAAGATTTTAAAAGATGGTCGAAATTGTTAACAGCAAATTATTTTACGACTTTACTAGATTATTGATAATATTATTTAACTGGTCATTAATAGAAATAATATTTATTACGTTAACCAGTAATAAATACTCACATAACTGTCTTCTTATTACTGCTAGGACTTAATTTCAAACATAAATTACCTCAATATTGATGAAGACAGCCGTATTGAGCACAGTTTACATGAAATTACATACCAGTAGGGATACCGTATAAATCTCGCCGAAACTTGTTGCCAAAGCGCAATAAACAGACGACAACTGTGCTCACAGTAAATCCAACAATTACGGATGAATAGCTAAACTTTTAATGGCCGTTCCGTTGTATCACACCGTTTGCCATTTGCCCGGGGATATGGCGAAGCTTTGAGGCCTTAATGATAGCTAACACGTTATACGAAACAATTAAGCGGACACACACAGACGCAATAAAAACGCTCGACGTCGTCCCGATTTCGTTTACGGCCGCTCTCAATCGCGGCGGATATTATGGTGTGATTTCATCGTCCGTAACGCGTGGGCGCATTCACAGATACAAATTGTGCTATGGTTGCGCATTATCAGCAATGACAGTGCCTATATACTTGGATTCGCTATCGAAGGTCTCCCATCCGATGGCATGAGACAACGACTCTTCCGTTTTTAAATTTGAGAAATAGTCAAAAGCGTAAAAATAACGATCTCAAATTTTGTAGTTAAAAACATCAAAAGTGGTTTTATATTATTTTTTAAGAAATGTTTATTCATGTAAAGATTTGTTAAATAATATTTTTTTTCTTTCTAGCCTTGATGCGCCTAACATGGTTTGAAATTAAATAGTTAACTCCTGTCCCCACGTCAATCTCGCGCTTTTCGCGGATGACACGGCGCTCCTTTACTCAGATCGCAACCTCAGCCAATTAACGACTCGACTCCAAAGCGCCGCCGACCGCCTCGGCGATTGGTTCCGCAAATGGAGAATCGATATTAACCCAGAAAAAAAGTGTGGCGATTCACTTCACCCGTAGCACCCCCAACCCCCATCCGCCACACCGTTACAAAGGTCCTCGCCAGTACAGAAAGTTGGGGCAAATATCACTATACGGCCAAACTCTCCCCTGGGAGAAAACGGTCAAATATCTAGGAGTCACTTTCGACTCGCGTATGACTTTCACTACGCACATCAATCAAGTCCGAAATAAAGCCGCGTTCGTCTCCGGCCGGCTACACAATTTAACGAATAAGCATAGTAAAATGCCCTTAAGGCACAAATTACTGTTATATAAAGCTTGCGTAAGGCCAATCATGTCCTACGCATGCATGATCTTCGCACACATAAATCCTACGCGCATTGACGAATTGCAAGTAGTTCAAAGTAAGTTTATCCGCCGCGCAACCGGTGCGCAATGGTATCAGCGCAACGTCGACCTGCACAGCGATTGCAGACTCCCGACGATTCGCGCTCATTTTAAAGATTTGACAAAACGGTTCTTCGATAGAGCCCAGCATCATCCCAACCCTCTGGTGGTAAGCGCAGCAAACTACCTACCGGACACTAACGCGAACGTTAACAAGCGTCGCCCGCGAAACGTCCTCATCGACCCGGTCGACGAAGAGGACTTAGACACGATGGTCCCGCCGGAAAACACTACACCCACAGTTAGTGTAACAACAATCACACCAGTTCGCCCTCGCCTCCGAGCACGGCGAGACCCACACAACGCGTACACAAGGTACACCCGCGTTCCGGGGCGGTTCTCACCGCTCCCAGCCACCGATTAGCTAAATGCACAGTCGACGGCCGTCGGGGTCTCGGTCCGAACCGGCGACCTCGACGGCCCTTAGATGACACACCATAGTAGTTAAACGCACGCATGAGCACATGCGCGACCCTACCCATAGCGGAGGGTCCAAACCCGTGGGTTCTGGCTAGCCCACCGGTTCTGCGTCCGATGAAGCTTTAATAGTCTCGGGACTGAAAGCAAAAACATCAGTTAATACAAGATACAAGATTAACTCCTGTGGGACAAAGCATTTTTATATCGATAATCATCGAGTATAAACATATGTTCATTCTAAATCTCATACATTCCTTCAGCCGTTTCGGCCTAAAGAGGGAACTAACACACACATAAACTTTCGCGTTTATAATATTGGTGCGAATATTACAAGTTAATACACAGTATAGTAGGTATATCGAACTGTCGGTGAACGTCCGCGTCCATTAAAGCGCCGTTTTTACCGCGTAATAAGTTAATGTCACTTAACGCAACTTCCCAAGCTAAGTAAACCGAGGTACGTGCGTTGGCTTGGATGTTACAGGGGTGAACGTACCCTATATTGCTCGGCTTAAGTGACGTCGCCTATTTAGTCGTCAAAGTTCGCTCGAACTAATTTAAATCTATCCAACATCTGCCACGAGAACGAGGTAACTTGTCAGTGCGTTTTAATTTGACGCTGCTAATGTTATATGTCTGAAAATGGATAAAAATTGCTAATTCAAAAAGCATAAGCGGTTAAC